AAGTTGATCCAAAAGCTTCTTAAGGAGTTTAGCTTTGGATTTCTTCTTGCTGGACTTCTTGTTGGAGCCTTTGGAACCTTTAGATGAAGATTCTTCTGGCTTGGTTTGTACTATAGGAAGGTTAGCCTGGCTTGATTGAGCGGGCAATTTCTTCACTGGTGTTGCTGGTTGTAAGGGACCTGGAACTACTGCTGGAGTTGGTAACCTTACAGGGAAGTCTTGTTTCATCATTGTGATAATGTCACTATGCTGAAATCGGGGCCACCATTTGGCATAGAATTGTCGGGTCAAGTTGAATCCAACAATTTTTCATTGTCATTTGAGTATCCACGGGACTTTGTACCTGCAAAAAAATATTAGTAATAAAGGTAATGGGGACTCCTGTTTACTAGGACGGTAAAGGGAGTAGAAGATATTAATCTGATCTTTAAGATCAGCTGGAAAGATTTCATCAATGGGACCATGTAGATGCCACCACTGTGTAAACCATGCAGGAATATGGCTTCTGAAATCTTTATGAAAATTTAAGAACCAGGAATGGGACAAATTCTCATTCTGGTAGAGTAATATTTTGGACCATGACTCAATGTAGTCATAGTAATTAAAATGCCTGTTGTGATAGGGAAGTTCTCTGAGCAAAGAAGGGTGAAAACCCCATTCCTCAACAGAAATAATCTTGGTAATAAACAAGCTATGATAGATAACCTTATTTGGGTTTATCTTATCAAGGATAGACTTGGTAAAAATAGATTTGGTGTAGTAGAGAATATCTTGGTAAAAACTATGAGGTTTTTCCANACAAGCTATGATAGATAACCTTATTTGGGTTTATCTTATCAAGAATAGGCTTGGTAAAAATGGATTTAGTGTAGTAGAGAATATCTTGGTAAAAACTATGAGGTTTTTCCAAGTCTACTGGAATATAGGTCCAACCTTTTGGGAGGTAGGCCTTTACAAGGTCTTTTGGATCATTGTATTTAGAATGGGCTAGTTCAATGGCTAGAACATCTTGGGAATATATTNTAAGACCTACAAATAAAGTTTGATGAAACCCAAGCGGGTGCCTTTTAAATACGAGAGATTAATTTATAGATAAAAAACACTATTTTAACAAAAAAAAAATATATTATTCACAATATAATAAATATTTTAATCAATTGAATATTTATATATAATTTAATAGAAATTCACTAATTATATATATACAGGTTGCTGTTGGGCCATTTGGGTAAAGGTTAATGGGTTAATAGTGGTTGATACGGCTACTGGCCGGATAACCAAAGCAGATTGGGCTACTGGCTTTGTGGGCTGAGTAGTAGATTGGGCTACTGGCCTTGTGGGTTGAGTAGTTGGTAATAAAAATCTGTTTGACAAGGCTAATGGCAAGTCAGGTTCAGATTTAATAATTTGTTTTTGTTTATCCTTCTTTCCCCCCGAATTTTTGGAGGAAGTTCCGGATGAACTACTAGGTTTCCTGTCCGCCATGAGGTTCCTGCAAAAATTCTCTGGTTAGGAAATCAGGAATGTAATTATGTTCGCTTTTGATATATTCTATATCAAAATCGAAAATACTTAAAATAGATTGTCATCGAGCAAAAATTTGCTTAGCAGCTATATTTTGACATCTTTGGTCAAAACATCCTTGGCTGATTTACAGTCAACCCGCACAAGGAACTTTTGATATATATATATCAAGTATATCCGTCAATCATAATGGCCCAAATTCATGACAATCAGATGGCGGCTTAAAATTGAAAATTTTTTTTGTGAGGTACTGAAAACAGTAGCCTTACAATGCTATTTTTATTTTTTGTATGTCATATATATACCATAACTTTTAATCAATAAAGCCATGAACAATGATGCAAAAAATTGAACACTAAATTTGATAAAAATTAGTAGTTTAATTATACATGAATTTTATCGGGTTCTAAATTCATATACGATAGGCTCTGATACCACATGTAAGAAATTTTAATGATTCGTATAAGAAATTTAAAACATCTAAATTATAAGATTTAGAACATACATGTATGAGATATGATACTTGATTTCCGAATTTATTTCTTGAAAGGGCAAAATTTTCCTCTCCTTCTTCAAAGTAATAGGCGGCTCTTAATGGGACAAGCCAATATAGGGTTATGAAGTGGAGAGGGGACCTAGCCTACTATTTATAATGAAATCTAATGGACTTTTCCATTATAGCCACAATTATATTAAGGCATGTACTTAATCGCCTCAACCACATCAATTAAAAGATGTACATGAGCTTATCAAAATAGATCACTTAATAATATTAGGCTCATCTCATTGGACCATAAATTCAGCCCGTTTTTTATAAACTAAAATTAACTATCAATTAATGACAGTCCAATGTTGGAAAAAATTCCAACATGATTGTCCATACCAGATGAGGTTAAACCAAGGAACCTTAGGAGATGAAGACGAAATAGATTTCGAAGCAGACTTGGCAGAGTAGATACTATCAAAAGTGGATGATATTAGTTAATTTACATACATTAATATAGAAGTTTCCATGGCATCAACTTATAGGTGCGACTCAACTTAGCCAAAGGAGAGTTTCCACGAGTATAAGGTAGCGTTAGATAATGTTTTTCAAGTATTTTAATTTTTAAACTTGTAAATACTTATTTAATGCATTATTTATTTTGTATGTTGTCTTTTTTAATTTGTTTTCCAGGCTTACTTCTTTTCTCTACCAGCCTTTTCACTAGTCGTCACCCAACCCTCATTGACAATTGGGTTCCTTTTGGTGGGGCTTTTGGTGAGATGGGTGACAACCACGTTGATTCTGNTCATTGGACTATAAATTTAGCCCGTTTTTTATAAACTAAAATTAACTATCAATTAATGACAGTCCAATGTTGGAAAAAATTCCAACATGATTGTCCATACCAGATGAGGTTAAACCAAGGAACCTTAGGAGATGAAGACGAAATAGATTTCGAAGCAGACTTGGCAGAGTAGATACTATCAAAAGTGGATGATATTAGTTAATTTACATACATTAATATAGAAGTTTCCATGGCATCAACTTATAGGTGCGACTCAACTTAGCCAAAGGAGAGTTTCCACGAGTATAAGGTAGCGTTAGATAATGTTTTTCAAGTATTTTAATTTTTAAACTTGTAAATACTTATTTAATGCATTATTTATTTTGTATGTTGTCTTTTTTAATTTGTTTTCCAGGCTTACTTCTTTTCTCTACCAGCCTTTTCACTAGTCGTCACCCAACCCTCATTGACAATTGGGTTCCTTTTGGTGGGGCTTTTGGTGAGATGGGTGACAACCACGTTGATTCTGCAAGATCATATTTATAATTTTTTTTTGGTTAAGTACATTTTTATGATTTATCGCTTATATTTAATCTTTGTCGTTCTAACATGAACCAATCTCCATTCTAAAGTGGATAATTTGTTCAAGTGATTTAGGACTTTTTGGACATGAAGATATTATAGTAATCAATCTTTCAATTTCCCTTGTGCAACTTGATGATACCAAAAATTACGCAAGACTAAGGTTGGACTTATTAGTTTAGACATCTTAGCTCATGATCATTAGCTTGGGAGGTGCAGGTCAGGAATCATCATCGACGTGACCCGTGCACATGGTCACAATAATAGTTCGCATCTCGAAAAAAGCTACGNAAGGCTAATGGCAAGTCAGGTTCAGATTTAATAATTTGTTTTTGTTTATCCTTCTTTCCCCCCGAATTTTTGGAGGAAGTTCCGGATGAACTACTAGGTTTCCTGTCCGCCATGAGGTTCCTGCAAAAATTCTCTGGTTAGGAAATCAGGAATGTAATTATGTTCGCTTTTGATATATTCTATATCAAAATCGAAAATACTTAAAATAGATTGTCATCGAGCAAAAATTTGCTTAGCAGCTATATTTTGACATCTTTGGTCAAAACATCCTTGGCTGATTTACAGTCAACCCGCACAAGGAACTTTTGATATATATATATCAAGTATATCCGTCAATCATAATGGCCCAAATTCATGACAATCAGATGGCGGCTTAAAATTGAAAATTTTTTTTGTGAGGTACTGAAAACAGTAGCCTTACAATGCTATTTTTATTTTTTGTATGTCATATATATACCATAACTTTTAATCAATAAAGCCATGAACAATGATGCAAAAAATTGAACACTAAATTTGATAAAAATTAGCAGTTTAATTATACATGAATTTTTATCGGATTCTAAATTCATATACGATAGGCTCTGATACCACATGTAAGAAATTTTAATGATTCGTATATGAAATTTAAAACACCTAAATTATAAGATTTAGAACATACATGTATGAGATATGATACTTGATTTCCGAATTTATTTCTTGAAAGGGCAAAATTTTCCTCTCCTTCTTCAAAGTAATAGGCGGCTCTTAATGGGACAAGCCAATATAGGGTTATGAAGTGGAGAGGGGACCTAGCCTACTATTTATAATGAAATCTAATGGACTTTTCCATTATAGCCACAATTATATTAAGGTATGTACTTAACCGCCTCAACCACATCAATTAAAAGATGTACATGAGCTTATCAAAATAGATCACTTAATAATATTAGGCTCATCTCATTGGACCATAAATTCAGCCCGTTTTTTATAAACTAAAATTAACTATCAATTAATGACAGTCCAATGTTGGAAAAAATTCCAACATGATTGTCCATACCAGATGAGGTTAAACCAAGGAACCTTAGGAGATGAAGACGAAATAGATTTCGAAGCAGACTTGGCAGAGTAGATACTATCAAAAGTGGATGATATTAGTTAATTTACATACATTAATATAGAAGTTTCCATGGCATCAACTTATAGGTGCGACTCAACTTAGCCAAAGGAGAGTTTCCACGAGTATAAGGTAGCGTTAGATAATGTTTTTCAAGTATTTTAATTTTTAAACTTGTAAATACTTATTTAATGCATTATTTATTTTGTATGTTGTCTTTTTTAATTTGTTTTCCAGGCTTACTTCTTTTCTCTACCAGCCTTTTCACTAGTCGTCACCCAACCCTCATTGACAATTGGGTTCCTTTTGGTGGGGCTTTTGGTGAGATGGGTGACAACCACGTTGATTCTGCAAGATCATATTTATAATTTTTTTTTGGTTAAGTACATTTTTATGATTTATCGCTTATATTTAATCTTTGTCGTTCTAACATGAACCAATCTCCATTCTAAAGTGGATAATTTGTTCAAGTGATTTAGGACTTTTTGGACATGAAGATATTATAGTAATCAATCTTTCAATTTCCCTTGTGCAACTTGATGATACCAAAAATTACGCAAGACTAAGGTTGGACTTATTAGTTTAGACATCTTAGCTCATGATCATTAGCTTGGGAGGTGCAGGTCAGGAATCATCATCGACGTGACCCGTGCACATGGTCACAATAATAGTTCGCATCTCGAAAAAAGCTACGTCACACCCAGAGAATATAACTTCTAACGGCCAAATATTTTGTCATATGGGTCATAATAGCCCCAAGGGGATCACGTTGATTATGCAAGGATCGCATTGGTTATGGGAGGATTGCAGAGATCACACAAGACAACTATATACTATATANGCAGAGATCACGCAAGACAACTATATACTATAAATGGGGATCAAATCCCTTGCATTGTAATCAAGCAAGCATATGTGCTATTAATCTTGTGTAATTATGTAACCTTCTTCTCCCAAGTAATAGAAAACTCCCAAGGAGTAAAAGACTCTATAATTCACAAAAATTAACATTGATTGTGGACACGAAAAAATTAAGCACCGGAAATGAATACACATTAATTTTAAAGTCTAAACTATATTTGTAACACACCCACATTTCGCATACATGCTCAAAAATCAACTTAATAGAATTTACAAACCTGTGTAATTAAAAGAAATGTTTGTGTCTGAAGGCATTATGTCATGCTAAACAAAAAATCACCAACAATAAATAAAATTAATTTTTCTTTGTTCCTTCAAAAAAATTGGACAAAGTTTCCTCTAAAACATGACCCCAAGTGAATATCAACCAATAATAATAAACCCGTGCCTGAAGACACTATAGAATATAAAAAATCGTTCATGACACTCCTCAAAACAAAATGTTCAATACTTTATATGTTCATATCGTTGGTAAATGATACCTATTGCATAACTAATCTCAACAGTAAATTCTTTTTTTTTTCGGTAAGTAATAGTAAATTGTTTAATACATTGATTAAATATAGAGTTTCTAGCAGATTAAAATCTTACAATACTTGCATAGTCTTCAGAGGTGAGAGTGAAATAACGCAATAGTTAGAATGATAACAACATTAGCCCTTGTCATCACTACCTTGATTGAAGTTTTGTCAGTTGGCATGCATTTCATTGGAACAATCTACATGAAAGAAATAGATAAAAAAATTAATATNACATGAAAGAAATAGACAAAAAAATTAATATGAGAGATGTGATGACCAACAAAGCATAACATTTTCACAAAACTAAATAAACATGAATATAACGTGTATGCCCTTATCCGTCCCAAATCACCCATATTGATGCACCAAAATTCCTCAACCATGAGGCTAGACAAAGATTACATAGCAGTAGCAAGAGCTCCAAAGCAATTTCCATGACCTAAATATTTCCATCTTACAAATGACCTACTTCCATAAACATTATCATTTGAGTTCTTTTCATTGAAGCAATACAACAAACAACTTGTAATCATATTGAAAACAATTTGAAAAATAATTATTTCAATTGCTATAAATACTTGCTTTTCTCTAACCAGTTGCACTTGAAGAGAAGAGGTAATGAGAAACAATTTTTAGATTCTACATACTTGATGTATACATCAGACCAACTGACTTTTACCAATCTACAAACATACCATGGGAGCAACCAAAACCACCATGATAAACGCAACAAACAACACTAATGGCAAAAGGAATGAAAAAATTCTAATGCATGATGTTACATGGAAATACTAAAAATATTCTAGAAACCATAATTTCCTAAAAAATTCTATCCAAAGCAGCCAGCTTGAAATTCCAGCTGAAAAACTCATACATGTTAGCTGATAACAAATGCCCAACTGCTGTGTTGAACAGTCACATGTATAGTGACATACAGTCGCAGCATTCCAGCTGAGCAAAATGGTCCAGCTGCACTGTAATAACTGAGAAGTAACATCTGGTAAGAGGAGAGCAACTGTTGTCTTGAAGAGTTGAGGACAGTGGCTGAACAGTGACTGTTCATGCTGCTGCATCCAGCAGGGAGAAGAAGAACTATTCAACAATTGGCTAGCAGGGAGGTGAACAAATCAAGTAATTTATGAATTTAAAGACATCGTGCAATGCAAAATCAAGTACTAATCATGTAATTATTTTTTTATTACACCATTTTAAATCAATCTAAATTCTCAATTAATATACAAAAATGACAAAATTTACTTTAAAAACATCTATAAAAAAAAGAGGGAATTAAAAGCAGCTCATTAACATAAAAGAAAGAGGGAATTAAAACATAATTATTTGGAAGCAAAAATTCCATCCAATTTGATTCTCTTTATTTTTTTGTCAATTTAATAGATTACTAACCCTTAAAATCTCAAACCATAAACACCATATCCCCTTCACCCGCAACTAATTCTTGAACTCTCTTTCTCCATAACTAAAACCATCAAAGAAATTGATGCCATGACAGTTCTCTCAAGACACCAAACATTTAACTAACATAAAAAGAATTCCAACCCATCTATAGCCTATAGCAACAATATTCATGAACAAAAACACAATTCAAACAGTCAAACATATATATGTTCATCTGTTCACGGGTTTTGGGTATGTAATCAAACAGGACAATCAGGCAAACAGTCACTCTAGTCAATGATGTCACCATTTCACCTTGAGTTGTTATGAGGCTGATAGGAACCAATTAGATTGTCCGTTACAATCCCTTTTTTGCAAAGATAAAGTTGAATAGGTACCTATACATTGCAATCACCTACTCCCACTATTGAATAAATAAGAGAGAGTTGCTATGGACCTTCTAAGAAACTGTGTTATTGAGTAATGAACATGGAGGACCAAGAAAGAACAAATTAAAAAAAAGTATATAGAAGTAATTCAAAAGCAACTTACAGGCCAAACATGTTGAATAGGTACCAACCAATTTTGTATCAGTAACAACTCCATTCGACATGCCCAAGGACAAACAAACACACATATAAGCTCCATTCCAAACAGCTAATATTTATTTTCTTTCGTTTCTAAATGAAATTAGCAAACCAAACATGCACAGTGTATAGTTTTAAGTTCAAGAGCATATCATATCTACAATTTCAATCTAAATCAATCAACAAACACTTAAACCAAACTATGTAGATCAAAATTTTACACCAAATAGCTTGTAAGGAAAAAATAAGCCTCTTGATAAAAAAATTGGTTTTAAAATGGAGAGAAATTATTCAAAATCCTTTGTCCCAAATTTGAAAGCTATAAAGCATGGCGAGAAATTATTCAAAATAGCAAGACCTAAATTAAAATAGGAGTAATGTAAGAATCAAACCTTGGACCTTCATAAGTCCATCGTTGCAACACCATGATTGCCATATTTGCAACATCCATTGATATCATAAAAGTCATCCCGTGTAACAAACACAATTTTCTTCAAGCAATCACCAAATTAAAATCTCTCTTAGCATGAGGTGGTGCTAGATCAGATCTTCAATAGCTTCACACAACTATTACAAACAAATAATTATCACTATGAAACATGAAAACCCCAACATAAAATGGCAAAAAAAAGAAAAAAAAAAACTAAATCTAAATGCCCTAAACCTCTTTTTGCCTGGAAACAGTGTCAATATCAGAGGAATGAGAACTACAAAACAAAAAAACCCATATCAATTTCGGTCAGATTAGATCAGATCCAAATCATCAACATGAGATGAAGAAAGGTTGGATCAGGATCATGGGTATGAAATGATCTATAAAAATGACGATGATAATGAATCAAGGACTTAGGTGAACCACATTTGGACCAGAGTTGGTTGCAAACCTCATCGGATGGATGCTTGGATGGAAGCTATGATGAGAAAGCTAGAGAGAGAGAGAGAGAGGGGGGGTACCTGGGTGACGACAGAGAGACGGAGACAGGGCAAAGGCTTGATCTGTTTCTTGTGTGTGTGTGTGAGAGAGAGAGAGTGAGTCGTGAGTGAAAGAGAGAGACGTTGTTGCCGCTGGCTTGGGAAGGAGAGAGCACGCCTGTCTTTGCCTTGGATTGTGTGTGGAATGGGCAGGATTTAGTTTTTGAGTGAAATGTATTGTGAGCCTTTGGATTAGAGACCTTGATTTGAGACCATTGGATGTTGAAGCTGCCCTGTTTTATATTATAGATCTTTGTCGTTCTAACATCAACCAATCTCCATTCTAAAGTGGACAATTTGTTCAAGTGATTTAGGATTTTTTGGACACGAAGATATTATAGTAATCAATCTTTCAATTTCCCTTGTGCAAATTGATGATACCAAAAATTACGCAAGACTAAGGCTGGACTTATTAGTTTAGACATCTTAGCTAGTGATCATTAGCTTGGCAGGTGCAGGTCTGGAATCATCACCGATGTGACCCACGCACATGGTCACGGCAATAGTTCGCATCTCGAAAAAGGCTACGTCACACCCAGAGAATATAACCTCTAACGGCCAAATATTTTTGTCATATGGGTCATAATAGCCCCAAGGGGATCACGTTGATTATGCAAGGATCGCATTGGTTATGAGAGGATTGCAAAGATCACGCAAGACAACTATATACTGTAAATGGGGATCAAATCCCTTGCATTGTAATCAAGCAAGCATATGTGCCATTAATCTTGTGTAATTATGTAACCTTCTTCTCCCAAGTAATAGAAAACTCCCAAGGAGTAAGAGACTCTAATAGAGTGGACTAGTCAAGTTTCCAAGATGGTGAATTTTTATAAATTCCTAATCTGCTGGTCTCTGTTCTGAGCTAATTAACTTCAGAATCCATTGTTCAAACCTTAAGAGTCTAGAAGTTCTAATTGGATATCTCAATAAACCTCATCAGCATCCTTAACAACCGCACATAACACACCATCACAAATAATTTATTTTGAGGTAGGAATAAATTTCACCTTATGAATCATTCGCTCGGTGAAAAGAATTACAAGTAATGGCCGAGTATTGGAAATGATTACAAAGATGTTGAATCATAAATGTTGTGAGAGGCACAGTATTTTCCATCAAGACCAAAAATGGCCTTGTGAACAGAAGCACAATGGAAGAGAAGAGTGACATATAGCTCTTTCTAGTGAAACTGCAAACTAATATCATGTCAAAAAAGAAGTTGCAAACACTTTTCATATAGCAGACAAAGGAGAGTCTCAGTAAATTGATTTACTGAAATCCAAAACAGCTTGAACTCTCTTCATCCGTGTATTGATAGTGAAACTAAATCTTTACACTAAATATTTAGTATAGGAATTTCAAAAGGATCAATTATGTCTGGGAAAAGTATAGGAATGAAGATATGGTAACAATAAGGATATAGGGGACAGTCTATATAGGAGGAACTGAAATATAGATGGGTATATATATAGGAGCTCTACTGCTGCCTCCCTTTCTGTTTCATCCTGCAACCTAATTGGTCTGGAAGTACCATGGCATGGCAACGAGATTCAACACAGGACCTGATGTTCTAATACGTAGAGACAAAGCTACGAAAAAAAATCAGAAAAAGTGACACAATAAACCCCCCAAAGAGAGGACATGATATATTTATATTTGACACAATAAACCCCCCAAAGTTAAACCTTTGACCTTTAGGATATGAAAATCGTGAGAAAATAAAAAAATGGCCACTAGATTAAACACGTAGTGGTTTATGAAAGATATAACTCTTACATATTTATGGTTTTTTCTAAACAGTACACATGTTTTATCCTTTTTTATTAAACTAACAGACAGATGAAGATTATTTATTAGCATTGTAACACAATCTTTGTTTAACAACTTATGCAAACTTGTAACAACAGTACTTGCCAATATAACAAATTTTATTGGAATATGAGGCCACAATACAGCATGACATCAACTTTTTGCTTTATTTGTCTTACATGTCCAATATTGGAAATACAAGACCTTTCGAGACGACGATAATATTATGTGTAGGAAGGTGATTGTGACAATTATAATTTGGTTTGGTGGCGAATATCGATCGGATATGTGTTAGTTGGTAAGAGAGCATTGTATACTCTTTTAGTGGAGATCAGATTTTGTTAGAGTATGTGTGGCTCATATTTGCTGTGTGCACAATGATAAGGAGGCAGATGCGGGAGCGGAGCCCGCGATTAGTTAGGGGCAACGCTCCCGCGGTACGGTACATGGGTATTTTGTAAATACGTCCGTACTAGGGTTATATAAATACTTAAAATATAACTCTACTTTGAGCAATGAAAAAGAACGACCGCTCGCTCTTGTGGATGTAGGCACATTGCCGAACCACGTAAATCTCTGTGTTATTTTCTCTTGCTTTCTTAATTGTTTGATTCCTTATTATTCACCATAATTGCTGCGCAATCACAACAGATTTATTATCTCAGTAGGATGAAAACTATCCCAAAATGTGTACTCGGTTCTGTTACTGCATGGTACTTTTCCTAGAATACATATTCCTGTTATTATCGATACTTGGCGGCATGGAGCATTTAGGACTGTAATACCTGAAATGTATAGGTGAAATTAGCCAAATATCAATAACAATATAGTTGGAGGTCAATGTGAAAAACATAACAGTTGAGCAAGTGAATTTGAGACATAAGGCAAGGTTGATGTGATCAAAGTGTAATTTTTCCTATATAACATTACACGTACAAATGAGCCGAGCTTTATGTTGAACATAAGCTCAAGCTCAATACATAAGACATATGAGCTGAGTTGAGTTTGAGTGTAGGCAAAATTTTAAAAGAATCGAACTTGAACAAAATATTTGAAATTCAACATGGTCTCGAATATATCCTGAACACTCTTTGCAAATGAACGACCCACGCTCGAATAGCTTGGTGCTCGACTCGATTCAATTCATTAACATCCTATGCACATGAATGGAATTGAAAAACTAAAAAGAATTGGATAAGAGTGTTATGACAAATGTACCAAGATCTGAAAGATTCCCAGATGTAATGCTTGTGGTGTTTATGTAGATAAACTTTGCATCATGCAGATCCTTGTTGAGGTCATCAACCAGTGGCTTAAGCCTTTTGTCGAATAGCTGGACTGCGTTGTTTATCGTATCCACGCATGCAGAACCATTTGTGGCATGTGTAGCCAACTCAGCTGGAATGCAACTTATTTTACCAAGTCCATGAATTGTTATTTTCCTTGCTATTTTCACCACCATATGTTAACACAATATGAATTTCGACATCAAATTAGCAGGTCATGATTGATCAAATTAGCAGGTCATGATTGATTAAAAATAATAGAAAATTCACTGACCCATTGATGT